GATTTCTCCCATAATGCATTTTAAGGTTATGGGGGTCATCATGTATCATATGAGATATGATTCCATGTTGTTTGCATGTGACAATGAATATTAGAAGATGATATTAGTTTATCAACTAATACAAATCATGATTTGGCCAATTTGATAACTTCAAATAATACCTTTTTCATGATGGACTTGTTTTTAAGTTCAAGTAGAGAAACAAATCTTCATGTGAGAAGAAGATTAAGAGATAAAGTGCAACAACTGCAACAAGCCTTTATCCCATTAAGTGGGGTCGGCTACATGAATCTTTTTTTCTTCAGTGTGTCCCATTGAGCATCATATTTCATTTAATTCTAATAAATAAATATCATTTTTTACACAAGACGCCCAAGTTTTTTTAGGTCTACCTCCGTCTTTCTTAACATAAGTCAGATCATCATCAGATGGTCAACGTTTAATGTGACCAAACTATCTAAATCGACTATCTCTAATCTTGTCTGCCACTGGAGCTACTCCAACCCTTACACGGATATATTCGTTTTGCATTTTGTCTCCAAGTGTAAAGCCACCATCCACTTAAGCATTCTCATTTCAACAACATTGTCATTTCCGGGTCAAACATCCTGGATGCAAAAATGAAGGGTTGTGTTAGGTAGTCGACAGCTGGCGTTAAGGACTATCGAAAAACTATGTCATGTATCCTTTAAGAGAATAAAGTGCTGACATTAAATTATTCAAACCACACATGACTCCTTAATCAAGGCTTTATTAAGTATTAGTTTATCTTCCTGCTTCGCTAAGTGCAGTAAGAACGATACAAATAGTTTGTTGTGAATCATTCGCCATAATATGGATCAAATCACAATAATCAAGACATCATAAAGGTTCTTATTTTGGATGGACGCAGATACTCATATATATATGGTAAACAACTATAAAAATCAAAGCCTTCCTAAGATGTAATAATCTAGATTGGCTATATGGACTTGGTGTAGCGCCATCTCCTAATTGTTGACTAATGTATCTTTCTCATAAGAAGATTTGATCGATCCTTAGAAAAACAATAGATGACGAAAGAAACATCACTTGACTTGAAGTTGGGATGCCTCGATCATTGTTGAAATTGTTCGCACGTCAATTTCCAAAACGGATCATACCGACACATTTAGAACGTCAAAATTATCTAAAGAATGATTGCTCGATGGATACAATGAACTTCAAATTGGTCCACATAAAGTGAAGCCAATTAGAGGCTGCCCAAACAACCTTCATGTGTAAGGCGGAATGTGTCACTGCATTGGGAGCATTAAAATTACTCGAGAATAGACCTTATATGATCGAATAATATTATTGAACACAAAATTGCTCAATTTGGACTTAAATCGCTTCGATCGTCATCAAAGAGAACCACAGGACATCCGCGAATAAAACAGACTGCACAAATGCATGTCAAATTTTCCTAAGGGGCCCTGAATGATCAAAATGAGCAAACATGGTGAACAAGAAGGGGATCGAAAACAATGCACGCACACTAAAAGCACAAAGTGGCTCAATTGATGCTGATGGCATTCAAATGCCAAAATTACCCAGATATGACACCAATATCGTATGAGTTATCCCTGCAATTTATCAGCATAAAGTTTCACGCAACATCACGCCATGATGTGTGCAAGTAACAAAGATGCATTAGGACTTCATATATAGATAATATATATTTAATTATAAATTATGATAATTTTATAAAAATAATTACAATTAACAATATTGTTATAAAATAAAAATTATTTAAAAAATCTAATTTATCTGCCACATCACACCTATTCTATTAAAATCTCGATCACATACACCGTCACTGAAAGGTGCCATCCTATCATTAGCCCTATTCCCACATGATTCCGTCCAGAGAGAAGAATATATTTTCAAACTAAATTTATATCACATTCGTTTGACTAACTCTCTCCCTACCTCTTCTCCTACCAACACCACTCTCCATCTCCCTCTCACGCCCACAGTGTACCCTTCTATAGCAACCTGCAGCCACTCTTTAAGGTAATTGTTATACTTCTAGAGTGTATGAAAGGCTAGACGAGGTCCTTCCCCCTCTTTCAGTTTCACTAAGTATGCGGAAAACCTTGTGTTAGACCCGTTGCTACCCTCTATCATTCTCATTTCCAATAACAAGCCCTCCACCAAGCCAAACGACTCTAAGATGAAATACCCTTTTCAATTTCAATTCTGCGGATATGATACCCAAGTTTCTCCAACTTATGCAACCCAATCCATTGTCCATCTCTTCTAACTCCGCACCAATCAATCACTCATCTTGTCATCCACGTTCAAATTACCATCCCCATAAATCACTTCCATCAGCTTCCCTCCACACTTTGCTTCTCCATACCACAAGTCGAAGCACCTTAGCTCGTCTCTCCTTTAGGACAAAATCTAACTTCACATGAGTAGCTCCTTTACTCCAAACTGAGTACTGCTCCTCCCTCCACAACACCTCCCAATCCTTTCTCGTACCACCCTACTCTTGTGACTCAGCCCAAACCTTTGCACAAATAAACTATCATTTGGCTCTAAAAGGCTCATTCCCATAAGCATCCCTTCAACCAGTTAGCCCTCTTTGAATATCCTCTAAGAGTATATAGCAATTTGTGTGAACCAATTGACCGCCATAGCTTTAACGAAACTAATGGTATTCATATGTTGTGAACTCCCATTTTCAAATTGACGACTTATAGTAGATTCTCACAATGACATTGCAGGGCATCAATTAATTGGCTTCCTCAACATCCAATCATCTCCCCTTAAAAGATTATCAACATAGTCTAATAAGGCTTCTCTAACCTCCCAATATCAAGCTCAACTGATGTTCAAGATTCATGTTGGCATCCAAGTTTTATGTCAATGCCCGAGAGTTTAGCCAAGCTGAACATCACCCAATTGACTACCCAAAGAAGTCCCTAAGAAGTTTTCTTCTCCAGCATATGCAAGTGATATGGTAAACCACATCAATATATAACCTCCACACAATCACCAATGTAGTCTACTTGAGGCATACCATCAAGCTTCTAACACCTCATTCGCCCTAGTAGAGCATATTTTTAATGTCTTTAGAAGGATGTTACACGTCTACTATACATAAAATCACATTATAATCAAGAGAGGCTTCATACTTGATACATCGCCCAAGGATCAACCCCATCAACCAATCACCCAACAATCTTCCTCCTTATTTTACTAAGCCATGACTCTAATACATAAAAAATCAAGGATTCCATCTCTCTACCTCTTCTCATTCATCCAATCATTATTGACACCTCTTGACAAGTCAAATACATCCTTCTTTATATACTTGACATATCTTATTATACTCCTCCGCTCATTATGCACTATGGGTATAAGCAATAAAATCAAGCCCCAAACATATTGATCTTCACATAACTTCTACCTCCCTTTTCTCGACTGCTAATGTTATCGATATTTGTCGATTTTATCGCTAGCATTGCATCATTTCTTCCTCTAAGATGAGAAATATCTTAAACGTGAGGTTCGTCATCCTCTCTATCCTTTCTAGGTGCCGCCCCTCTTCTTTACAGGTAGTGTCGCATTATCCTAAAGGAAAATAATTTTTTTTATCCATGATTCTTTAATAAAGGATGCTTTCATACCGTGGCCATGGTTCTCGATGGCACTCATAAAATTAGAGCATGTGTCACCCTACATTCTTTGATAGCCTTATGACTAAGAGACCAATAATTTTTTTTACTATTATTAATCATCACTATTTTAATATTTTACAATTGGCTAGTATTTTAAAACATTTATTATAAGGTGTAATATATTTGTTTTCATTGATAAGGTGTCAATGAGCAAGAGGAGCATGGTTTCTTCAAGTATCCTTATGACAGTTGTCTAATAGGGCCAAATTCTTTGATTTATTGCTTAAAGATTATGGGAAAATTCCTCAACATTAATATATTTATTGAATTAAACTAAAAAATAAAATTTCAAATATTTGAATATGACCAATTTTAGTTCTAAAACATCGCATTTCTCCAATTAGACCCTTGATTATATAAAATCAATTCAAAATAATCCCTTGGAGACTACATTGGGATCAATTTTGTATAATCAAGGAAAAAATTTGAGCAAAAATTGAGATTAATTGTCTCAATTTTTTCGTGGGACCATTTTAGATCCATTTTATATAATCAATTGTCAAAATTAGAGAAATGTTATACCCTACAATTAAATTGGTTGCACACAAATAGCTGGACTATGTTAGGATTTAATATTATATTTATTAGTTGTCTCCAAGAGGTCAACCACTGAATTCAGTGAGTTCTTGATCCGAGAAGCAAAACTTTCTATTTTTTAGGGCCTACATCAAAACTATTTGCTCAACTACAACCTAGATGTCCTTATCTCTTGAATATTTCCCTATTCAGCCATCAGAAAGGCTCATTCTTCTTGTCTAAGAAGAAGCAAATTATGTGGAGTCCTTTTTGGCGTTAAGAAGTTAAAACTTGGACTGCGAGAAGATAAAGAAAATCAACTAAAGAGAATACCGCATGAAATGGCTGATTGAAGAACCACATGGCAAAATCCTTCAGTCAGTATATAATATATGAAACACTGCGCGTAATGGTGTTTGATACATATGGAGGTTCATGTTAACCTCAAATGTAGCAATTTAGCGTGCATACCTGAAGTAAAAATTCATCACAACACACACGCGCACACACACACACAGATATATATATATATATATATATATATATAAGATATATATATATATATATATATATATATATTATATCTTCTGACATGAGCTTTTCTTGACGTCAGCCAAAAATTATTCATTATGCATGTAAAAAAATGCGTAAAAAGAAGATGGGTAGGGAACTCTATGACAGTATTAGACTTTAAGGGAAGAAAATAACATTTTTGTAGTTTATAAATTGAGAGAAAAAACAATACTCTTGCAAATTGTATACTTCTAGAATTAAGAAGAATATCGTGAATACACTAGAAAGGACAATGCACTTATAGGATGGAATACTATTGCCTCTATAAGACAAATTAAAAGAAAAAAAAAATACAACGACAAGCTGCAGCTCGATTACGTATGTATGACATGGTTACAAACAGCACTTCTAAACACACACACACACAAATCTGTAACAAGTCAACGGCAATCACAAGTTCACTGAAATTTTACAGACAAAAGACGAGAAAAACTCACCAATCCAGCATTCAGCACTACTATAATCCTTAATATCAACTTGAAATGCACCAAGAAATCTAACTCTATCCCCTGATATCAATTAAATTGTATGATCATCAAGGTCCATGTAGTAAGGTCTCAGGTACCACCCGGAGGAAACATTTGCTGAAGAACTCGAGGCAAATTCAGGACGATTTCAGCATATGCTGCAACACAGAATACAAAAGAATATTAGAAATGGCATCAGTGTAAGAAAATATCTAACCTAAGAGATGAACCATGAGATTTTTTCTAATCCAACCTTCAGGCAAAGTCAAAGTTCTCAATGCGTCCTCTGCATATAAAAGGCGTGACGGAATAGATTGACCTGCTGCAGTACTTCCCTTTTTCTCAGTTGTTAAGATCTTCTTTGATGGATGAAGAGGCCAAGCAAGAACTCGAATTCGACTTGGTAAAATAGAAACAAGATCAGCATACCTAAGACTCACAGTCACCTTGCTGAGCCAAGGAAAATGGAGTGATTTGGAGCATCAGATATCTGCTATTCGTATATTATGTCTAAAATGGGACAGATTTTCCATTACACTGAATCTATGATTTCTAATACTATCAAGAGACAATTAGGATGATGTCAATGTAAACATTCTTATTATTACTTGGACAAAAAGTATAAAAGACGTTTAAACAATGGAGGGGTGTAAAATGGTTTCAACATTTGAGAACGTATGAGTTTAGAAAAAATTTATGACAAGGGAGCGAGCTGTACTTTATTATTATGGTAACAGTCTGACTCAATTTTTCAGGTAGGAATTCCAAACTTCTAAGACTTCGCTAGCCCCTTTTTTTTCCTATCTGCTTATCCACTGCAGTAAGCTTCTCCTTTCAAACTTGCCCTCCAGAGTCTTTAAAATATTAATTTTTAATATTTGCACCTAATGTTAAGTACCCTGCATTATATATTCAGCGATTCCCAATCTACTCCTCGCCAGTGACTTTCTGCCAACTTTAAACCTCAGATAGTTATGGTGAAAGGCTTTGATTTATGAGAATTTTTTTACAAATAGCCTAGGTAAATTATTCTAAGAGACTTTTTAAAGGCAATACTCAATCTTTTCATCCAGAAGTAATTCTTGAAATTGCTACCTCAACACGTGAAAGAAGCACCTCCGTCACTTGGAAAGAGACATGAAGATATTTTTCTTTGATCTTTGCTTGAGAGATATCGGACTAGGAAACTGAAAAAAAAATGATAGCAAAATTTGGTTATGAACTTTAAAAAGGTCAGAACGAGCATATGATAAAGCAAGAGTGATTGAAAAGTAGAACTTAACAAAGATTGAAAATTACGGAGGAATCTCAAACACGGGATTTTGATAGGATCTAAAGAGGATGCCAAATTAACGATTGATATGCCCAATGATTGGTGAAAATACAGCTTAAGGTCTTGGTATTTGTTACTCCTTGATTTTCAGTAGGGTCATTATCGCCAATAATGAATATTTAGTTGTGACATGGAGAAAAATCCGCAAAGGGAAGGTGATAAATTAACGTTCCCGCACACAAAAAATAAAAGAAAAAAACTAAAAGAAGAAACACTTTTTTGGGAAAACCCAAAATTGGGAAAACCACGGGCCTAATTTGGTTGAAATAATTCCAACAATATATGTTATAAGTTACATAGAATGCCCCTTCTTATACTTAGGGAGATATTGACACATTGTAACAGAAATAAACTGTGTAAACTGAGCTCCATGATATAAGCTGGAAAAGCCTACAAACTTTGGAGTTGCCTTCAAGAGATCGCCTGAGAAATCTCGACATTCTTTGTTTGAGGAAAAGCGTCAAGAGAATAAGAAGTTTAGTGTCATCTTCGAGTGGAGGATGTAAAATCAAATATGCATCAATATTATGGGTTGCCCTGAGCAATGAGGCCGAAGAGTGCCGATGTTGGTGCCAACATGTCATGGTGGCTAAGTGACAATAGTCAAGTGACGATGATCAAAAGACTATAAAGGAGCAATTGTGGTCCAAAGATTGCAGCTAGGTGATGGAGGTGAGAAAACTAAAGTGGGGAGAAGTCGAAAAGCCGTAGTCTGGCGACGAAGGTCAATAAATTGTTATCAAGTGGCTGTAGTTGGACGACAGTGGTCAAATAATTATAGTGAAGCGACACAAGTCGAGAGAACTTAGTCTTATGATAGAGGTTAGAAAATTGTAGAACATCGACTATCAAGTAATTGTAGTTATGCGTCGAAGTTGGACGGTTTTAATAGGGCGATAAAGATCAGGAGACCATAGGTTGGTGGTTTTCTAAACGACAATGGTTGGATGGTGGCGGTTTGACGATGATGAAACACAACGGTTGTCTCACAGTGATAGTTAGATGGAGGCAATCGGATGACAATGGTCGAACAGTGGTAGTCCCGATTGTGGCGACTAGGCAGTGATGTGGCGATGGTGGTTCAGTGACGAAGTCACCATATAGCAATAACAATTGTCCAGCAACGGTGGAGCCGATGGAAGTCCAACGACAACGCTGGTTCGACATAGTTAATAGTTGAGCGACGGTGGTCCAACAATGCACTCGAGCAGTGATAAAGTCATGATGGCGATCTAGCGACAATGGTGGTGACAATAACTTAATGGCATGGACAGTCTGCCGATGGTATTGCAGCAAAGATGGTGATCCAACGATTGTGGTCTAGCATTGAAGGTGGCAATGGAAGTCTGATAACGACAACGATATTAAAATGGTGGTGGCCATGACGGTCCTACGACGACGACAAATAAATGAAGATAGCAGCCAGATAATAGTGGTTCGCAAAGGCGAAAGACAGAGAGGTCCGATGACAATGGAGGTGGTACAATCTGGCAAAATTTGTGGTTCGATGTCAACGAAAATGACGACAATCTGGCAATGACAACGGCCAAGACAGTCATATGAAGGCGGCAGCGGTCAGGCGGTGGTAGCAGTAAGGAGGTGATGGCCCGACAGCAGCAGGGGCTAAGAGGTGGTGGTCTGAAGATGGTGGAAGGGTAGAGCTTAAAGAGTACTCAAAACCTCGAAGTTCCCTTGAGTAATGTCCTTTAACTTCAAGTTCCCCACTCATCAAATAATGAGTAAGTGTCTATTTATAAATTTTGAGAGTAACAACCTTTGTAAATAACACCAATTTCTAAAAAATCAATCAGATGTCTTAGAGTAATCCCTTTGAAAATATGATATTTTCAAGTCTTTAAATGCCTTGATGAAGTTAAAATTGAGCAATTTTGAGCTCACTAAAATTATCGAACTAAATTTTATTGTAAGAATGCAAGCTTTGGAGATCATTTGATCCTCCAATTAACATCCCAATATTTTCAATTATGCTTCAAGTGCTTGATCTAGACTCGTTTAGACTTGTGGATCATATCGCTTTTGGAGTCGTTTGATTCGTTTCACAAAACATTCAGTTTGATTGTAAATCTGTAAAAGTCTAAGCATAGAAGACTCTTAATTTGATTATGTAAGCTTTCAATCATAAGATGCATCAAGATTCATGCCTAATCAAAAACATTTCTTAGTGGCATTAAAAAGTTTGTAGGTTCTACTTGCTATAAGGAATTTTAAATATTAAGGTATTAATCTAGAGTTACAAAAAATGGATATAATGTCCACAAACATAATTATCATAGGTAAGAAAGCATGGACCTTCAAAGAATGACTAGTCAAATGATATGGCAACTATAAGTACTCTCACAAGAAATTTCATTCTAATGACATCGTAAACAAAGCCCTGCAGAATGAGAGTGATGCTAGCAAATGGAATAGATCAAAGATATAAACCACATGAAGTGCATTAGGTGAGCGGAAGAGGAAGAAATGTAGCATCTATAGTGCTAGATAGCAATCCAAAAATCTATGAAGATACGCAAATATACTTGTTAGCTATAAATGTATTTGATGATCCAAACAAGTGAAATTTCAATGGTCATGGCTAATGTAAGGAAGGTTCGCTACTGTCATAACCTTTTGAGAGTCCTGAAAAGTAAAATGTTGAACATCTTCCTATTGTTCTTGGAAGCCCCTTCAATTGTCCTTTTTTTTTCTAGTTATGTTTCGCATTCGCTTGTTACATCTTTTCACAAAAAGGGACGTGACTTTTCTATAGTATGTTCAATTTCAAATTTGAATTATGTAGTGAAATTCATTTATAGATTGAAAATGTAATTGTTAATGTAGTTATGAATGATAATGAAGAGGACACATCCAATAATAACGTGAATTTAAAAAAGTATTGTTGATGTCTGAAAAATGAATATGATGAGAGTTATTCATGCAGGGCACTATACCGTGCATGATGTCTAGTGACATTAACAACAAATGAGCCAATGAAGCAGGTCGTCCAACTAAACTCCGTGTCTTAAGCATTCATAGATCCGAAGAATAACTTGAAGCTAGATAGCTCGTTAAGAACATAAAGACTAAATCAAGTGTTTGCTATTACACTTTATGTTTTATAACAAGGTTGTATGCAAGCTATTTTAATACTATATTGCGACAATAAGTTGATTATTCATAGAGATGATAAATTCTATTAATGGTTATTTTTAACCCACATCAATAGACATACATAAAGATAGCTCTACATATTGTACTTAAAATGACTATAATTTAAAATCAAATTAAATCCCAAGAAAAACCAACTATTCTTGTGCAGCGAATTCAGTTCCAAAGTATCACATTTCTATACTGTTTATTCGATTATACAAAATTCATCCAAAATGGTCACTCACATAAAAATTTTGATACAAAATTGGTTAATTTGGATCAAAGTCCTATTATAGTTTACAAACATTAAATTCCTTGTGCAATCATGCTCCAACTTATTTCTTATTTTGTTATGGAGTTGCAACAAAGTTTAATAAGATTAATATATTTGAAACTCAAATCTTCTTAAATCGCATAAACGAAATTATTTATTTTCCAATAATTTAAAGAGTACATATTCAAGATTAGAAATGTTTATCAATCCAAATACACCAATTCCAATGAGGTATGGAAAGCTAAACCGCAATATGCTGAAGATTTTTTTTTTGTCTGCTTTTAAGCAGGTTTTGTTTCAACATATAGATAGAAAGAAAAACACAGTTGCACATGCTTGTGCAAAAAGGGCCTTCCATGATAGTTTTTTTTTGTTAGGATGGTGGATAGCTCCCACTTCCTTCTTCCTTTCGTTGATTATGACCGAGCCCATCTATTAGTTGGCTATGTTTACCTCTAGTTCCTTTTTAACCATCTTTTTTCTCTGTTAATGTTAATTGCATATTTCAAGAAATGTTTATCAATCCAAATGCACTCTAATTATGTTCACACCCAAATGCATTATAGGCAAGGCCAACTTAACTTCTCACTAGCTAAAACATTCTGAGGCATTGCCACAAATAACACGAATCACATTATGTGGCCCAACTGATCAATGTAATTGCTCAACAAGTCAAACATTTTGTGCATTCTTTGAACATGAGTTATATATATATATTTATTTATTTATTTATTTATTTATTTATTTATTTATATATATATGTAGTTTCTCTTGAACAATTTACAATAACTTTTTGCCGATCCAAGATTTCCAACCATCAACCATAAAAGTGCAACCATAAGTAGCATAATCTTTGTAATGAGTTTGCAATTACTTCTCTAAGTCTTTCGCCACATAACGCAAATGTTTTATGTTTTATTCTAGGACATAACCATTGGAATGCTCCCAATGCTATTGTATAGTTATCATCATTTATTGCAATAAAAAAAATTCCAATATCATACATCCATTTTGCAAAGTTAGAATTTCTCTATCAGTCGATTCCTCCCTTATAGCTTCCATCTTCTTTTGCATCTATCATATCATTTTCTTCACTACATTGAGAATAAAAGAGAGATACGTGCCAGAAAGCCCTTTCACCTTTAGAACTTTCAATTTAGTGGTGATGTAGAACATTGACTTTTTTCTTAGCTCAAACAATCAAGAAAACATTTTAAATCTTTAAACTCATCATAATCATCGCCAAAAGCATCATTGTCAAAAATGTGATAAGCTAATATGCTATTTTAGTGCTTTTTTAAATTTAAGTGTTAATTTTATTTTTCTTTCTCGAGGATAAGAATAAATTTGGCATTCTTATGCCCCCAACAGGATAGTGCTTAAATCTTATATTTTGTCATTTAGTATCTTGCCACAAAATATATATTTCAAAATTTTCATATTCTTCAAGTTGAGAAGAACCAAATTGTCTCCTCATGCTTGCACATAAGAAATTGCCTTCAAACATTTTCAAATTCGTTCCATTAAATTAATAATAAAGCATAAATCAACTGCAAAAAGTAGCATACAGCAAAAATTAATTTTAAACTTTAAAATATTGTCAGGAAAAAAGGCATAACTCCATGTTCTGTGCTATCAGATGCTCTTGTAAACAAGACTTGCAAGTCTGTGATGTCAGATGTTCTTGTGGACTAGAACACTTGGAAGCAAAGGCAAAAGAGAACAAGACTAGCGACAAAAACAAGACTCACTATTAGGTGTTGTCAGTTGCCCTCATGAACCCAAAAAGTTGTAGGTATATGCAAAATAGAATGGGCTGAGGTCTCATGGATGGGACGGATGTTAAAGTGGAAGATGTGAAGGTGGATGTGCATGGGGGATTGTAATGGGGCAGGCGGCACACTTTGTTAAATATGAATGTGGATGAGAATGAAGACTCAAGAATAGGAGGGTTTCTAACATAGATAAGGTTGGAGCAAACTGAAAAGAGAAGTGCAAACTGTTGCTCTCGCAGACAGGATGCGCATGGAAGAGAAGGCGGAGTGAAAATAATTAAAGGCTCGAGGATGTATTGGTTGTTATAATGCATAGTTTTTCTATTTGAGTAACTTTTTTCCTCATTTTTATTTTATTTTATTTTAGTAGAAATTTGTTTAGGTTAGTGTCTATTAGAATAGCCGGAGCTTTTATTTATAGTAAAAAAATAAAGCAAAGCAATCTAAAAATAACTACGAGTCCAATCAAACAGCAAATCACTTTCTGATCTATAAGCAGCATCCACAAAACTGAATTTTTAAAATAATAAAAACAGCTTCAGCCACGTCAATTTGGCCTACCAAAAGAGTAGATATTGCACATAAATTGAATTGGCTTGAACTTAAAACTACGAGATATATCATATTTATATGCTAGATTTTGTATCAATAATAATGTAGAGGCTAAATAGGCCTTACCAATCAAAGTCATCCAAAACAAAGTCAATCATATTGTACGGAAGACTGTGGAAGAGATCCTTAATTTGTTTACCATAGAGCTCCTTAATAAGCCGAACCTAAAAGAACAAGAAAGAAAAGCATAATATTGTATGGAAAAGTTTGGCTTTGAGAAAGAATAATTACTCATATTTCTGGAAGGGCTTATCAATCTCAAGCTCAATAAAGCGCAGGGAACTTTTACACAGACAAAATCGAAGAATTGCAACAAACTGTATAATATCTTAGGATTATACAAGTAATTAAAGCGTATGCAATACATGCACAGCAATTCTATGATTTGAAGGACCTCAACATACTTTAAACATGCAAATTGTTAAACAGTTAACATATGGAAAACTAATTTGCTTCACAATCTTTCATAGCAAATGCCACCAAAAAAAAAGTTGAGAATACCAAAAATTGAAGCCGTGGAAACTACAGTAAAATAAACAAAACGTAACATAATACAGTCAGAAAAACCGACTATACTCTTAAAATTATAAGAACAGATGCAGATACCTGTTCTCTTCTGTTCACATAGGCTTGGCAGATTGCACCAACATAGTCTATGAATTTCTGGTTAAGAAAATGATGCAGAATTGAAAAAGAAGCAGATTTGAAATAAAAAATTTGATGGACGCAGCCTGGTCTAAGAAAGCATACTATGGCATTAGAAGAGAGAAGATCATTTTCTGCTTCGCGAATTGGTAGAAAGAAAGGTACGGTATGCTGAATCACATTCATCTTTTCAAGAAACGATTTGCTTTCAAGCACACAATGGTAAATTTCACATGGATCCCCTGCACAATAGCATAAGAGACAATTTTCTCCTTAAATTTGATTTCATAAAATTCATGAAAGCAAAGATTAGACTTAAACTTTAAAATGGAAAAGCAACTCTTTTACACGACGCAATAAGACCCCGACTAAAACCATCAAATTGATCCTAAGATCATTTTCCAAGCAGTGTGAGCAAAAAAAAATAAGCTACCAAGAATCACTCCCTCACCAATTATAGATGCCAAATGATGAGAAAACAGTAGGGAAGTCCACAAGCCATATAATTATCACAAACACAAAAACCTAGCTAAAACAGAAAAAAGCAATTGTTGAAAGACTTTATTTCTATTAGCTTTTCAATTTCCAATATAAGCTATTTGGTGATGTAGATTAAATCTAAATTTTACTTAATTTGAGGTTTTTTTTTCCCCTAAGTTCCTAATAGCTATACTTGTGATGCAACAACTTATATCTTCGATGATGCTTTCAATTTCCATTGTACCAAATAAAGCCATATGCAAAAGAATATAGACTTTGAGTTACGCGCAAGCAGTACGATTCAATTTTGCTCAGAAGTTTGAAATCCTAAACAAAAATGACAAATTTTTTACCATCCAGCACAAATCATGCTACTCACTCAAGAGGATTTAGCAAGTTTGTTAATGAGGTTCCAATTAATAAGCCTACAGATGAAGCTTCTTTTAACTTTTAAGAATTCTTGCTAAAAACATTGAGCTAAAATCATGCATTTATCTAGATCTCGATCTCATAAAATATTAGGTGAGAAAAGTTCGAGCTTAATATATAAGCTAGAGCCAACCATATAATATCCACGAGTCAAGCTCAAGTTAACAGTGACTCAATCTTGAAAAGACTTAACTTGATGACACACCCCTCATGCCTTCTCCATGGAAGGAATTCAGCAATGTAAGTAAATTAGGGACAACAGAAACAGACAATAAAAAAGAATACACTTTTCCAAAGACATTTCAACATGCTTACCAGCAAATGATGTTTCATACTGTATGCCAATTCTAGCATCTTCAAGGCAGCAAATAACCTGGCAACCAAAAAAAAAAGACAGTTTAAGACCATGTTTTGCTTGGACAAAAATACATAATATAGCAATAAGTCATATCAAAGATTGGATGTTGATCTTAACCAAAATCATAACTATAATTAATAAAAATAATAAATTATTAGAATGAGTTTCCTGGAGTTAAGAAAAAATATTAGATACAAAAGCACTGCTCAAAGAGGTCCTTCAAAAAAATTTAAAAAGCTTCAGATAAAACTAGTGTGTAAGGAAATTCACACCATAAAATAAGAGAGTTTTGTGTCATAATTTTTCACAAAGATCCAACGCACAAATAGATGCAAGAGAATCAGGAGACGCTAAAATTTTTAGATAGAAGACTAAAAAGAGAAAATTCACATAGCCTAGCCTAGTCGAAATGATTTTACTGCACAAGCATAAGTCACAAAATTTCACATGTCTCCGTAGAAGAAGGTAGAATTACAATAGTGTAAATTGCTAGTTTTACTTCTTGCGAGTGCGGTAGAAAACATCAGTGAGGAGGTAGAGAGTAAAGTACAAACAGAGCTATTGTCGATTGATGGAGATGGTCAGGTGACATAGGTTTAATGGCGATGGTCAAGCAATGACGATCAGACAGCGATTGTCATACAACGATAGTCCAATAATTGTGGTCGAGCAACGAATATCAGACAGCAATTGATGAGCATTAAATCATGGCCTTAGAATAATATTAGAGTTGGAAAATCAATGCGTTCAGGTCTTACTTTGGTGTACAAATGTGATGCTTAAAGAGACTCTCCAAAAAATTTTAAAATGCTTCAAATAAAGCTATAGGGTGTAAGTAAATTCACACCCATAAAGTAAGGAAATTTGCAATTTTCGTGTGGCATTCGTTTTCCAACAATAATTGATGAGTATTAAATTCATGATCATATTATAGCTTAACCAACCCCCGTCGGCGCGCGTGAAACCCAAATTAATTAGGGATAACAACAAACGAGAATACCCACGGCTAAAAAAACACACAAATAGATGCAAAAGAATCAGGAGACGCTAAAATTTTTAGATAGAAGACTAAAAAGAGAAAATTCACATAGCCTAGCCTAGTCGAAATGATTTTACTGCACAAGCATAAGTCACAAAATTTCACATGTCTCCGTAGAAGAAGGTAGAATTACAATAGTGTAAATTGCTAGTTTTACTTCTTGCGAGTGTAGTAGAAAACATCAGTGAGGAGGTAGAGAGTAAAGTATAATCAGAGCTATTGTCGAATGATGGAGATGGTCAGGTGACAGAGGTTTAATGGCGATGGTCGAGCAACGACGATCAGACAGCGATTGTCATACGACGATAGTCCAATAATTGTGGTCGAGCAACGAATATCAGACAGCAATTGATGAGCATTAAATCATGGCCTTAGAATAATATTAGAGTTGGAAAAATCAATGCGTTCAGGTCTCACTTTGGTGTACAAATGTGATGCATAAAGAGACTCCAAAAAATTTTAAAATGCTTCAAATAAAGCTATAGGGTGTAAGGAAATTCACACCCATCAAGTAAGGAAATTTGCAATTTTCGTGCAGCATTGGTTTTCCAACAATAATTGATGAGTATTAAATTCATGATCATATTATAGCTTAACCAACCCCCGTGGGCGCGCGTGAAACCCAAATTAATTAGGGATAACAACAAACGAGAATACCCACGGCTAAAAAAACACCGAAAGGACAACTCTCACATTCATGACATTATACTATGCATGGTAAATTCATGAATAATGAAACAAGCAAATCCTAACATGATCATTCTCCCCCCCCACCCCCAAAAAAATATATTTCTTCGAGCACAAAGCAACATATTGAAATGGAACTAATAGAAATGAAAATTGTATTATGATAATAAAGCCATACAAATTCCTAAATTGAGTTCTTTCAAATCTAGGAAAGGTAATCAACGTCCATAAGGTTGCACCTATTAAAAACCTTAGTCCTAAAAAAAACTTAATAGCCGTGGCAATAAAAAAATGTGGAATGTTAATACTTCCATCTATCTCCTAAATATCACAAGTTCTTATTTGTGCGATCACTTTCAATATTTTCTACTCATTCAATGCATTTAAATTCAAAACAGCTAGAAACAACATCCCAACTTCGGTCATATTCAGCAGATTATCTAAATCAATAGCAAAATGCCAATGATGATAGTGTTCAACTCATTATGATAAATCTGAAAAGCATAACATTTTTTCATAAACTTAACTAGTTGCTTTTAAAATTAATCTATACAATAATGCAAAAGATACTAGAATCTAAAGAAAATCATTAGCCAACAATACAATATTTGATAGCTTGAGACATGATGACCTTGTTTCCAATCCTATATGTGATCTTTGCATCCAAAAGAGGATCTGTTGGCATGCTTGCTTCATTAGATTCATTCAAAGATGCCTTTCTATCAGTTTCCAAATGAACCTGGTAGAAAATAAATCAAGTTCATTATTCACTATCAATTAACAGAAAACTTGAGCCCAGTCAAGAAGTATCAAATATACAAAATTGAGAAGAATAATTAAGAAATTCCTTAAAATCATACGATTACATGACGCTGTAAAAAATTATGACACACAGCCTAAGATGATAAGCTAAAATTAAGATAACCTAGCAAAGATGGCAAACATGGTACCTTCTCGCGGATTGTGGCTAATAATCCATCATTCCATTGCTCATCCTCTAAAGATATTTCTAAAGCACATTAATTATAAGAAGTCAGAGATCAAAAATTGTTACAAAAACTTCATGAAATATATTCAAGCAATATCAACATTTGTGTATTTTCATATCATAGTTCCGCAAAACATCAATGAGCTCAACAGAAATCTTAAGCCATTAATTAAATGAAAAAATTCTAAGCGCATGTCAAGTTTGGACTTGGGTAGGCAAAGACAAGGAAAACAAAAAGAGATAAAAGACTTAACTGCCTATTTGGCTTAGGCTTAAGTTGAGCTCAATCCAACATAATCTACCAAGCCTAAACAAAAAGCCATTTAGGATGTTATACCGATGTATGAATAGATTTACTATTGAGCCAATTGAGAATGCGACGACGAAGCCATCTAGAGGTTGACTGCTGATATGCAACTTTTTACAATTAAAAATAAGGAATGTTTCTATCGGCTATAAGAAGTTAAAGATAACTTTGCAAAATATCTTCAGTCAATTTTTACTATCTAAAGTGCTCATTAAAATAAGATGTCAATCATCAAATTCTAAACTTTTAAGTTATAATTATACTATTTTCACTCAAATATAGTTGAATGATGGATCGAATTTCGTGATGGTACTCTGGAGCTACAACATTTTGCTATTAAAATATTAGGATTTACAAGTTTGTCATATGGATGTGAGCACAAGTGGAGCATAAATATTTGAGTTCATACAAAAAAGAAAAACCATCTGACAAACTTAAAGACGATTTTCTAGACATAAATTATAAATGACAAAAATTTGAAGAAAATAGGATTCAATGATGATGAAAATCCTCCACTATGTGAAGTCATGTAATCGGATGATGAGTAATTTGCATATGATGATAATGAGATCACTCCATCCGAGTTACCAAAAAAATAAATAACATTGTTTCTTTTATGGAAACAAACATAAAACTAGCACATCAACCACACGATAAGAAGGGATAAAATGAAAACGTATCTATAAAATTTTAAGAATTTGGAATTGTTTAAAATTTTAAATAATATTTTCTTTTTTTTAATTATTACTACTAAATAGAAAATATAAAAAAATTAAAACTGAGGTTGAAAAAGAAGGAAAAGGGGATAACTTAGACTCATCTTAAGAATAGGCCACTGAGAAAGTTGTTCATTATGATGATGTTGGAGAAAGTTGTGAGAAAGTTGTTCATTATTTGTTCATTATGATGATGTTGGAGAAAGTTGTTCATTATGATGATGCTCCAACTCCCTGAGTGATGAGAATGATAAGTACTTTTGAGTTCTAATTATTTATTATATTCCTATCAATGAACATTATTGTCTTAGTCAATATGTGAGAGAAGTTTATTATGCTCATCCCACTTATGTCTTTCTTTAACATTTTATGTTATTTTCATTCATTTTATAGTAATTTGCTCAATTGATATCCACATTATATTTTTTTTATTTATGCAAATCATTACATGATATTTTATTATTTGTGTACTTTATTACTTGGTATAGGTACAATTTCTCACTTTTTACAATGTTAAAATAATAATATATATTCTTTGACATATTTATAAGTTATGAGGCTAATACATCAATTTTTATATTATTTTGACTCTAAATAATTTTTAAATTGTTAGATTGCGTCTCAGAACGTTTTGAGACTTACGCTTCGCCTCATGAACGGAGAACACCGCAATACCAACACTTAATTGCATAATTTAATACATTGTTCTTGAATATATTATTTGTGATGTTGTTCATGTGCTATAATGTAATATAATACAGCTTCTTAAATCATATCTCTATCTTATCTGTCATAATTATCGTCAATTTCCTCATAAATCATACTATTTAAACCTATTCATTTAGTTAAGGAACAATCAATAGTAATCCTTTCTTCCCCGAGCATTAGTTGTAATTATCTTCCAATTCAACTTGATAAACATAAGCAAAAATGACATTTCTAATATCATCACAAATAATTAACTTAACATAAACCACCCTCCTACTAGGAATATTCATATAAATAATTATCTTTCAACCATTTATCCACTATTATCCTTACATCATTCATATTCTTAGTGTCAACTTAAACAAACAAAAAAGCAATTGGGTCAGATTTTTCTAATTAAAAATTATGCAAGATGATTTTAAAAATTGTTGGATTTGTTTAAAGATGAAAATAATGGTAATTTTGAGTGACTCTTTGCATTTAACTTAAATAAAATCTGAAGGCTTGGAGATCCATCTTGACCATTTTTTTGTCAAAATATTCTGACCCAACTTGTTTCCTATAACAAATCCCAAGCTAAAAAAAAGCTCCAAGATAAAAAAAACAAAATATTAAAAAGAAAAAATTTTTTACTAAAAGCCTCCAAGCGAAATATACCATCAGTTTGAGAAGCCCTTGCAACCTCAAACTCTTTTATCAAACGCTCAAACATCATTTTGTCGGAGTCCCTAAAGAGAAATTAACAACAAAACTTAGAATCAGCGATATTGGTAATTTTGCCTAAGAGAAATAAAATTTTAACTCTCTCAAAAATGAATAAATCAGGTACGAAAAAAATATAATAAAAATTTCACTTCAAAATAACAAACCAAGCCAATAAATTCAAAAGTACAATAGCTTGTGTCATCCAATAACCAATTAAGAAACTAATAAAACCATTGTTAATCCAAGTAACTTCCATTTTACAAACAGAAAATAAATAATAATTTCCATGTCCTTCAAAACTCAAACTATTGCTTTCTTCTATACTTTCATGAATTTACAAGAATAACAAGAAAATATAAACGTCATTCATGTTTATATGAGTCATGTTATATGAGTAAGAAAACCAACTTAATATCACGAAAGTGATTATGTGATTCTTAAAAGAGGCCCTAGTGAACACAACATTGTACTAACATCAAACACATGGATATTTTTATTTGTGCAATTTATGCAGCAAAATGTTAGACAAATGGAGATCTAGGCCCCAAAATTACGTTTGAATTCCATTTGGACCCAATGTATAAATGCAATAACACAAGTTAGGTAGAGTTCATTGGAAAGGATTTCTAATTGGACCATAAAAAGTGAAGGCATACAGATGGAATTTTATTGAACCAAAATACTAAGCAGCCCGATGCACTTAATCTTAAAAAAGTCCTAAAACAACATTTAGACTGCTTTTTGATGATATTTTTATAGCTTAATTTACATATCATCACTCATTTTGTTTGACTTTTTTGAGAGAGAAAAAATCAATAATAACCACAAAATCATTAAACTTTGACCTCTCATAAAAGTTTTAAAACTATTTAACAGACAATTGCACTCATCCCAAACAAACCCTAAGTTGGAACTATCAAAAGCACGCCAATATCTACCAATGTTATACATCTAAAATAAAATTTCCAAAAATGTGTGGGTATTTTAATTATTTTAATTATTGCAACTTTCAGCGGGTTTTGGCTTCTATACTAAATTAGGTTGATCTTGTCGGACAACAATTTTGATTCCGAATACGGTTATATAACCCCAAAGATAACATAAATGAACTGACTTCAATTTTTCTCAATATGCTGTCATCATCTGTTTTCTTTAAGATATTAAAGCAAGATTGCATGTTGAGAAATATTCATTAAGAGATGATAACAATGGTTGTATGAGTAAGGAGTCTATGCTTATAGCATACCTTTGAAGACGCTCAGTCAACGCTTGATGTCTTTTAAGAACATTAGACACTACAATAAAACAGCAGCAATTTGTAGAAGAAATAACTCTCATATGAAAAAGTACAAATAATACAAAAAATTCAACTACAAACTGTACATCTTGCTCTAGTTGTCTCTAATCGTGTATCATCCTCGTGGGCAAAATTCTACATCATATTAAAGCAATTTGTTAGATTAGTTCAAGCATAAAATCCTACATGGGACTTATCTATCCTATAGCATAAAAAAAAAATGATCGAACATACCACCTCTCCAGTGAGAACATGTGAGCGCCTCTTCAGTTGTTCCATTACTGTAGCAGATCCACATGCAAATTTTACGAAAGACAATTACAAGATAGAAGCCAAGTTGATCATGTTACAACCGACAAAATAAAAATTTGAAACGACATGAATAAATTTTCGAGTTTGAGTTAGGTATCTAATCAGAATAAAAAAAATAAACCACATTCTACATCTCAATTTGTCAAGATAACAGTCTCCAGACACTCCTAAGTTCTTTGCGGAGTCGTTATTTGAAAAATATTTCCGAATGTGAAATAGCATAGCTTTTAAATAGATACCGGCAAAAGTAACATTTCCTCGACATCCCACTTATGCACTCAAATGATTCATATTAAATCTCTAGGAAGTGTGAGCGGATGAATTGCAATGAAATTAAAGTAATAATATGATGGATACTAAAATACCAGCCTAGAATGATCACATTCCTGACATCAATGTAATAAAAAAAAAAACTATCCCAGAACATTTGTTGCTAATGCAATTGAAGCAACAATAGGGTTATGAGAAATTCAAATCAGAAAAGAAGTCTTACTTGTAAACCTAATTGCTGTTATTAAGGTATACCTCCCGACAGAAAGGTCATTTGGCTTCTAATGATAGAATGCTGAGGAATAAAAGACCAAAAAGGGAATGTGAAATAACTGAAAATGTGCATTTCACTTTTAAAAATAAACATCACTAATTTTTTCACCCATACTAAAAAAGAAGGGACAGCAGCAATCCTCATATAAAGGGCATATGGTACTTACTTCAATGAGGTGTAGAATCTTTCGTTGTCTATAAAACAAGTTAAAGAGAACTTTTACAGTGAATATATTTTAGACATGGTCCTAAAGTTTCTCCAAGTTCATATCTCAAATAAGTATTATAAGATGTTTCTAAACCATTGCTTGTGAGTATTAATACAATTAAATAAATTGGCAGCTTCTTTGTTATTGATTTAGAGTGATAAATTATCATACATTTATTATAAATGCTTACCTTGTGATTACTTGTCTTAATAATTATTTTAATGAATTGAACTTATAACTTATATCAACCTAGTTATGTTATGAAATTAATTTAATATTTGGTTAGTTGAAATGTGACTAAGTGGGCAGACGTAGTAGTTTCAAACAAAATATATATATTAAGTAGATTATTTGAGCAAAAAGTTATTCATCTTTTAGCCTATGAGAACTAGGAATTTGATTTAGGAGTCTAATGTAAAATATATATATAGCTATAATTTTTATCATTAAGAGTAAAAAATCATCAATTTATTACTTATTTAGTTAGGGCCTATAGTTGCATCAATTTATTACTTTTGATAAAAAAAACATCATTCAGTAGCACTCCTCATAGTTGTTACGTCGCTATTATCAATAGTAAATGCTTCGTTTGACATGTTGAAGGGGTGACGAGTGTAAAAAATTTATTGCTTATTTAAGAGATGTAAAATGATAAATACTTCATTGCTCAATAGGATGCATTGGAGAAAATAAATTCATGTAGCCGACCCCACTTAGTAGGATAAAAACTTGTTGTTGTTGTTGTTGTAAGAGATGTAGAGTGATGAAAAAAGGCCTCATATAATTGATTGATTAATTTTGCAATGCATACTTATTAGTATACATGATAAAATTTTATGATAATGGGTGCCACCAGTGAGGTTATGAAGAATTTAAAGGAAATAGCATGTTATATTAAACATTCTTTTAAAAAGAGTACATGATGTCATAATCGTTGTTGAAAACAAATAGAAGATTACAAGAAGCTCTTAAATGTCGAAGGCTTGTTGAAGTGGGAAGAAGCTACTATATATCAGCATTAATATTCTTGTATAAAATGATATTAAATAGTTGTGACTATCAAAGATTGCATTGCCAGTCACATTTAACTCATAGTGGTTTCTATTGAAAAAAATGAGCTTAAGGGAAGCAATGATTTTGTTCCAAAAATTTAAACTTGTCTGCTCCATGGGGGACCAAGCACATAAAATTTGAAATTTTCACTTGTGACCGAGTTTGACATCAAGGAATGGTATATCACATCGAGGGATGAAAATAATAACCTCAATCCCAAAGTGATTATTTCACTACTCCATGTGGCTATAAATCATAAGTTATTCCCCTATCCTAAAAGACAGGGATTATTTTAATTTTGAGGTCTAATATCCCTAAAAAAGCACATCTGCTTAGTTAATTACAACAAAGGAATGATTATTTCCAAAGAAAATTCTCAATTAAAGTATATATGGGAAGTAGCACAAACACAAGTGAATCGAACTTAGAGCCCTCAGGCACCAAGCCCACAGTCATACTTAGTCATTCGTATATATGGGGGCATGGGCTAGCAAACACCAACAAAAAAAAATAACTAATTTAATTTATTTTAATTGCATGCCCCCTCTTAGCATTTTAGCACAATAAAAGACCAATAAACATCGCCCAAACATCCAATCTACGCACAAAACAACCGTCTTAATTGTTCATCTAAAATGACAAATACACATTCACCAAACTCATTCAATCTACATCCAATCATAGAGTAGAAAACATATATAATTCATCATTAGCCTAACATAATCCAGATTTGTGAACTAGTAAAAGCAATTAAAAATATAGTTTGTGAGGTAGGCATTCTAGTATTTATGTCTAAGTGATTTGAGTTTAAAATTTAATTTCTTATCATTAGATGACTCAAGTTTAAGTTTTCTAAATGTTGTGCATATGCTTTAATCTTCAAATTTTAGTCTATGTTTCAATTTAATTTTAATGTTATAAAGAATGTTATGAAAAGCGGGAGAGGTGTCATTCTTCACAACTCCCCGATCCTAATAATGTGTAAAACCTCGCTCAAGAGTGTGGCATACCACCTAAAAATCTAAATCAAATTGGTTTAAGTTTTAACTCAAACAGATTAGTGGATTTAAGTGGTTTAACATATTTGAATTGATTTAGTTTAAAATTAGATCGTGTTTGATTAAACTTAATTTCTTATTCAGATTGATTTAAGTTGACTTACTTCAGTTTTATTTTTATGCTTAAGTTTCTCTTCTTATCAGTGGCAATAAGTATGGTTTCTTCAAAACTTATAAAGGAATAAAACAGGGTGATTTTCTATCACCTTATCTTTTTATTATATTGTTTTCGACTACTTATCTAGAAGATTGAATAGCTTATTTCTTTCTTATCCTTCTGTGAATTATAAGAAAAAGGGTCATTTGAGTATTTCACATTTATGCTTTGCTAATGATCTGATCATTTTTACTAATGCTAATAAAGTTTCCATAAAGAGAGTTTGGGAAGAGATTATTAAATTTCAAACTATTTCTGGTTTGAATTTTAATACTTCTAAGTGTTTTTTCTATTGTTCTAAGAAAGTTACCGTTGCTAAGAAAGATTGGATTATGGAATTTACTGGTTGTAATAAGGCTCTGTTACCTTTGACTTATTTGGGCTTCATGCTGGATAAGGGACGGAATCGTAATGCACTTTGTTTGAATTTGTTTGACAAAATCAGAAATAGGATTTTTTCTTGGGATAATAAATTTCTTTCTTTTGGTGGGCGTATCACTCCTCTTAAGAGTGTGATTATCTCTCCCCCTCTTTATTCTTTGCAAGTGATGAACATGCCTATGGGGTTTATTAAAAAATTGGAAAATCTATTTAATAAATTCCTTTGGGAAGGCGAAGGAAATTCTATGGTTCATTGAAGAAGTTGGAATAAGCTTTGTAAGCTCATTGACAAAGGTGGTCTAAGTTTTAGGAGCTTATCTGATTCTATTAAGATTAATTACATGAAATTATGGTATAGATTCAGAATGAATAATTCCACTTGGGCTTCTTTTATGCATACCAAATATTGTTCTAATATTTATCCTCTAGCTATTACTATTAAAAAGAATGATTCTTTTATTTGGAAAGAGATGTTAAAAGTGGCTAGAAACACTGAAGATTTAATTTGTTGGGACATTGGCAAAGGGGACTGCTCCTTTTGGTATGATAAGTGGACTGGTAATAGTGCATTAGTTGACTGGTATGGTGGTCCTGCCGAGATTAATATCAAAGTAAATGATTTCTGGTTTGATAATAGATGGTGTTTCAGAGAGCTTCAGCAGAAGGTTCACTCTACTGTGTTAAATTCATTGCATTGATTCCTATTACCAATAATAAGATTGATGTGCCCAAGATTAAAGGCATTATTGGGATTCTGTTTCTAAATGCTTTGCTAAATCCTTTCAAGGGTTGGATCTTAGATGGAACTGGAACCCTTGGGTCAAGCCTTCAATTTCTTTCTTTATTTGGAGAATTTTTCATAGTATCATTCCTACTAATGATTTATTTAAATTTAAAGGATTGCAGCTTCCTTCTTGTTGCATGCTTTGCAAAAATAATAAGTAAACCAGTGATCAACTTTTTGTGGATTGCAATTTTGTTGATGAAATCTAGAGAAAATTTATTATGAAATTGCATTGGTCGAATACTTTGTTGCAGGTTACTAATATTTCTAAGATTTTTACTAAATGGAGAGCTAATGGTCATGCTTTCTTAACTGTTGTACCTGCTATTACTATTTGGTTCATTTGGATAGTTAGGAAAGATGCTAAATTTAATAATGTGTCTCCTAATGTACATCATACCGTTAGTTTGATTTTTTCCTATCCGTTAAAAGAGCTTCATTTGTTGTCTCCTACTATGAAGAAGAATGGTAAAATGATGGTTATGATGCAAAAAATAGCTTTACCTGTTAATATTAAACCTAAAGTATTTTCTTTGGTGTCTTGGAGTAAACCTTGTGCACCCTTCATCAAAATCAATATAGACGAATGTTGGAAAAGTACTTGTGCTCGTGTTGGTGGAGTTTGCAGAGACTTCTTGGGTTTTGTTATATGTTGGTTCTCGGCTGGTGTTTTTCCTGTCTCCCCTTTGGTTGTTGAGGATGATGCTTTGATGTTTGTTCTTCAGGTGGCTCTTAAATGTGGATGGAAATATATTATTTTTGAAATTGATTCTTTGATATTATGGAGGTATTGCAGATTTGAAAGAGGATCATCATTGGAGTGTTAACCTTCAAATGAAAAGGATTATTGAATTGTCTAAAAGCTTGGTTATTTGTTGGTCTCATACCAAGCGAGAGAAGAATATGGTTGCTCATTAGGCGGCTAAAACTGGATTGAAACTTCCTGGTGCTGAACTTTTGAGAGTAGCCTTAAATGATATTAGTTAATTTTGTTTTCTGTTTTGTTGTTTTGTTTTCTGTTTTTTTGGGTGTGTGTTGTATTTTGCATTTTTTGGGAAGAGGACCTTTAGATTTTCTTTGTTTTTGTGTGAGTTGTATATGGGTTTTAGTTAGGTCATTTTCCTTATTTTTTAATTCTTTTTTCGATGAAATGCATAAGAAGTCAAATAATGTTTTTTCTATCAAAAAAAAAAGTTTACAATTCAGCTTATATTTATTTTGATTAGATTGAAATAAAATTTATGTTTAATTTAGTTTGATTAATGCTTTGATTTAACTTAAATTTAATTAAATCTTAAGTAATTGATCAAAATTTTATTAATTTAAGTTAGTCTTAATTAATATTTAACTTTACTTAAGCTATTTAAGTTTATTAAGGGTCCGTTTGGGACGATGGAGCGGTGACAATGCGGCACCACACCTCAATTTTGTCTGTTTGGTTAAACTGCGTTTCGACGGCTTTTTCAAAAAGCTACCGCTAAAATCAGTATTTTTCCACCGGTCCTAGCTAAGTGCAGTGGCGGCTTTCTAACTGCGAACTGGCTTTTTCAAAAAAAAAAAAAAGTTATAACCATCACAGCTTTTTGTACATCAAATTATTCTTTAACAACTTCACAGGTGCTTCTTATAAAGCTGCAGCAGCCCCAATCAAATCCTAAGATTTAATTGATTTAACTTTACTTAATTTGATTCAAGTTAAATGCTTACATTAACTTTAACTATATGCTTACTTTGATTTAATTGATTTACTTAAATTGAGTTGGTAAAATTAGATTGAAATAAAATTTATGTTTAATTTAGTTTGATTAATGCTTTGATTTAACTTAAATTTAATTAAATCTTAAGTAATTGATCAAAATTTTATTAATTTAAGTTAGTCTTAATTAATATTTAACTTTACTTAAGCTATTTAAGTTTATTAAGGGTCCGTTTGGGACGATGGAGCGGTGACAATGCGGCACCACACCTCAATTTTGTCTGTTTGGTTAAACTGCGTTTCGACGGCTTTTTCAAAAAGCTACCGCTAAAATCAGTATTTTTCCACCGGTCCTAGCTAAGTGCAGTGGCGGCTTTCTAACTGCGAACTGGCTTTTTCAAAAAAAAAAAAAAGTTATAACCATCACAGCTTTTTGTACATCAAATTATTCTTTAACAACTTCACAGGTGCTTCTTATAAAGCTGCAGCAGCCCCAATCAAATCCTAAGATTTAATTGATTTAACTTTACTTAATTTGATTCAAGTTAAATGCTTACATTAACTTTAACTATATGCTTACTTTGATTTAATTGATTTACTTAAATTGAGTTGGTAAAATTAGATTGAAATAAAATTTATGTTTAATTTAGTTTGATTAATGCTTTGATTTAACTTAAATTTAATTAAATCTTAAGTAATTGATCAAAATTTTATTAATTTAAGTTAGTCTTAATTAATATTTAACTTTACTTAAGCTATTTAAGTTTATTAAGGGTCCGTTTGGGACGATGGAGCGGTGACAATGCGGCACCACACCTCAATTTTGTCTGTTTGGTTAAACTGCGTTTCGACGGCTTTTTCAAAAAGCTACCGCTAAAATCAGTATTTTTCCACCGGTCCTAGCTAAGTGCAGTGGCGGCTTTCTAACTGCGAACTGGCTTTTTCAAAAAAAAAAAAAAGTTATAACCATCACAGCTTTTTGTACATCAAATTATTCTTTAACAACTTCACAGGTGCTTCTTATAAAGCTGCAGCAGCCCCAATCAAATCCTAAGATTTAATTGATTTAACTTTACTTAATTTGATTCAAGTTAAATGCTTACATTAACTTTAACTATATGCTTACTTTGATTTAATTGATTTACTTAAATTGAGTTGGTAAAATTTGAGTTCAACATTTAATTTTAATTAAACTAATTAAGTTAAGATTTAATTAATTAACTTATCTTAATTTGATTTATATTAAATATATAAGTTTAGCTCCAGGTTGCATTCAAATTGATTTATTTTTTTGAGTTATACTCTTAATTTTGTTTGGATTAAGTTTAATTTATTTTGCTTTATTTTGATTTAGTTTTAATACAAATTTTGGTAAATATTATATGTGTGCGCGTGCGTGCATGTACATGTTTTAACATTATGTTGACTAATGGTCATTTATTTCATCTTATTAATCTTTTCTTTATCTATGTTGCATCAGCTTTCATGTCGACGGCAAACACAACTGCACTTTACACTTAACTGCACACGATTCAGTGTAGAGTGCTTAGATTGAATAGTTTTCTACAAATGGCTTATCCAAGGTCGTTTGTCCCAAACAGTGAAATAGAAAACTCCAATTTCCCCGCCTACCACCAGCTAGAAGAAGCGAGTCATCCATGCAGTCCTCAAATCCGACTGATCTAGAAGGCAAACCATAAGTTTCCCGCACTCAAAAGAGGTAGGAGACCTATGGTCAAGGTGCTAACCTAAGAGGGGAAATCTTTATCCTAATTTACATCTCAATATTTTGAATTTGAAAATGTTGATAAGAGATTATAGCTATACCTGGACAAAGAAAGAATTAATATCGAGCACTTCCACAAATTTTCAAAAAAAGAATCAGGGCCCCCCTCGCACAAAATGCAAAACAATTTGTAATAAAAATTTGGTGCAAATAGGATACTAAGTAATCCTATGAGTGCAAATGCCATGATTGATGAATGAAAAGGATTATATCTATATATATATATAAAATAAATGTTATGAAGAATATGTAGCATGTCAGACATATATAGATGTCAAATCAATGAAATCGCCTGATCGATACTTGGAAGCCGATAAATCCTACTGACATATATGAGAAGGAACGGTTTAGTTCATATAGAGTTAGAAATGAAGATAACACTTAAACTAATTACTATATAATCAAGGAGGATTATGTTAGAACTTAATTCGGCACAAGATCGTGAAGATGGATAAAAATGAATGTGATAATCAAAGTAAAAGAGAAAATTTGAAGAACTTTTAATACATGTTATTCTACTTCATTGAACATCAAGGAAAAATATGTATGTATGTAAGCATGCATGCATGTATGTATGTGTGTATGTATGTATTAGGAGATCCTCTCTATTATTTGATTATTAAGGCCAAGTATGTGTTTATGTATCTATAATGAATAATAAATAGAAAAGTTTCATCTATTACTAAAAAAATTACTTCTATGCAATTCATTATGTAGGCTTAAACTTTTAAATAAAGCAAAACTTGATATATTTAAAATGTACTTAGTTCATGCAGTCAAGGTAAATAAATGTTCAAATTTTAATGATTATTCAAATATGTAAGCATAAAATAAACTTCAACATGCAATTCCCAAGCACAAAGATAGTTTAATCATTAAGTTTCATTCAAATTGAATTATTTCTAGCCAACAGTATTCAAATGGAGCAGGCATTTAGTTCAAGTAAGAAATCTATTGAATCGTTGGTGTAGTTGCAATACAAATTATGATAATTAAACCCTCTGTACATAACTTCAATCTCCACGTGTTCATCAATATGCATCACCCGTGGATAAGTTTCTAGCAAATTAGTAAGCATACCGGGCATTAAGAAGTCCACAATTCGATTTTTAATAGTTTCTTGGATTAAGACAATAATCTAGCCACAAATTCAGAAGTTCCGACTCTATATGGAATATTAGATCTGAAGCTCGGAAAAAGATACCCTTTCCAGTTTCATTAACGAGTGTAAGGAATCACAAGGTGAATTGAAGCATCCATTGTATTTAAAAGTTCGACATATCTAAGATAATGCTTCGAGTGAAGCAACCTTATGATATTGAATGGAAAAAAATTGGTACAAGAGAAAAGGAGGTATCCACATTAACAAACCTTCTGCAGTAAAAATCTAGAAATCGATAGTTTCATGTGGACTAATCGGGTAGTGACAAAGAAGTACCATATAATCGAGGAAATGGTAGAGCTGCAGGTTTGGCGCGAATGGAGGGAGGCAGGGGGGGGTGGGAAGCTTTCGATCGAAAACCCGGAGAGAAGCGATTCGGTGGCTACTCGGCTAGATGTGCAAAACAGGAAGGCTGCGGCTTCAGTTTTCGGTTCTCGGACTTCGTCCAAGCCACTGGTGCGTGTAAACCCAAGAAGTGAGCGGGCTTCGTTCCCTGGGCGAAAATCAGAGGAGGAGATGGCTATGCTGCCTTGCTTGCTCCAATTGGAGAGTCACGAGAGAAAGAGAGAGAGGAACCCCTCGATTCCTGCT